TTCCGGCAAGCCGTGCACACAAATTGTGAGAGGCACCGAGCCAGAGCGGGGAATGATGGGGAGGGCCCTCCAGAACCAGACCCCCCCACACACCCACAAGGCTTTACTTTCGCAGCCAGGGCCCCTCCTGGGCGGGTCGGGTTTTTAGGGGCTCGGCCTGGCTTTGCAAAACTCCGAACTCCACTGAGCTGTGCAGTTGGGGGTGGGCACACGCTGACATCTGAGGGGTGCCCAAAGGTGCCCCCCCTGTGCTTTTGCCCCGCCAAACGCCTTCGTCCTGGCCCTGGCAGCACAGCTGGGCGCCTCCCTCTTCTTCCTCTTCGCGGACATCAGCAGCCTCCGCGCCTGGATGGCCGTGAGCGCCACTCCCTGTGCCAAGGCAGGCGCTGCTGTGCGAGGGCGCCCCCCCCCCGGTTCTGCCGCAGGGGGCTGGAAGCGGGGGCCTGGGCAGGCTGGCCCGAAGGGGCATGGCAGCCTCCTCCATCGGTCACGCGCTGCAGCCCTGCAGCTCCCCCTCAGAGCGTCCGTGTGGCAGCAAATCCCCAGCAGCAGGGTGTGGAAGAGCGTCCGTCCGAGGGCCGTCCCAGGGCTCCGCGACCCCTCCTGCCTGGGCTGTGGATGCCGCGCCCGACGAAGGGAGAGAAGCAGCTCCGTGGCCGCGGCCCTTCCCGCCACCCATCCGCTCGGAGCCCAAGGCAGCCACTGCCTTGCGCGGGGCGGGGTCTTCCCGGGCGATGCCCCCCCCGTTCTGATTCACACGAGGGCTCTAGCCGAAGGTGCAAGGTGGCTGTGCCCCCCCCCCCAGCGGACTTCCACGCCATGTCACTGACGCCCCTCCTCTTCCTTTTGGAGGACCCTCCAGGGCAGGAAGGCTGCCCGCTCTCGGCCCGTGCTCGGGGGAGCGGGCGTGCTCCTGGCTTCAGCTCCGAGATCGGCGGTGCAGCGGCAGGTGGGCCGCCTCGCAGAGCAGCCCCAGGTCCCTCGCACTCGGCATCCCCCACGCCGCTCGGGGGTGCCGCCGGCCAGGCCCTGGCGCGTTCCGCTCGCGGCCGCTCCCTGCAGGAGCCAGCCGGGAGGTTTCCCCAGAGGCCCGGCCGGCTCAGCGCGCGTCGCGGCCAGCAGAGGCGCGGCAGGCACGGGCTGGTCTGGAGGAGCGGCGGAGGAGCCGCTGCTGCGCCGAGGAGCAAGATCGTTCTCGGCGCCCGAGGAAAATGCAAGCAGCGGCCGAGTTCCTCCTCGTGCTGAGCCGTCGCCGCGCCCCAACAGCCGAGCTCCCCGCGCCCGAAGGCAGTGCGGGCGGCGAGCATTTCGGGGAAACGCTCGGAAAGCGGCCGAGCGAGCTAGTCACGCCTCTTCCCGCAGCGCAAGGAGCCTTGCGCAAGACGCGCAGCCGCAGGTGCTGAGCCGCGCTGGCGCCCGGCGATCGCCGCTCGGGCTGCCCGGGCTCAGCCGCAGCCGGACGGGGGCAGGCGGGAATAGACGGGCCCGGCTTTGCTCTGACCCGCCCCCCGCCCTCCGGTCTTATGTGGCCCAACTCAGTGGGGGCACCGCCTTCCGTCGGGGCGCAGTTCCGCCAGAGGCTCGCACTGCGCCGCGCGAGGAACGGGGCTCAGCCGAAGGCGCATTCGCGCAAGCGCAGCGCTTCAGGGCAGGGCCGGCGGCCTTCCTTGTTCCAAGGAAAAGCCCGGGATCCTTCCGCGCGGGAGGGGCCCTCCCTGGCCGGGGGGGGCGGCGGGGGTGAAGCAGCAGGCCAGGCCAGGCGTCAGAGGAAGAGCCGTCGCCATCTCCCCCGCGGACTGGCCGGGCCGTCGGAAGGAAGGGCATGGGGCGCGCTCCCGAGTCTGGCTTTCCAATACCTTGTTCTAGGGCCGCCAAGCGTTACGGCTTTGATGCTCTGTCCATTGTTTTAAGGGTTTGTTGCTTTAAATTGCTGCGTGTCGTCAGTACTCAGTAGACTTTATTAGTGCTTCAGTGCATTTTAAATAGTTTACCAGAAGATTTAAACGTGTTAGACATCAAAAGGCAACTTAAATGCAAAGTAATGTAGGCGCCATTGATATAAATCATTCAAACCAGGGCAGCTCCATAATTAGCGGGCATTCCGCAGGGAGGGGCCCTCAGAGAAGACCGGCGCGGGGGGGCTTCTCTCACTGGCCCCAAATCAATTGCAGCGGTGGGAGCCTGGCAGCTGCTGCGGGGAGGAGGGCCGTGGGTGGCGTCACGCGGCCACGAGCAGGAGCGGCAGGCAGGGCGCCTCTGGGGCTCCGCGGGCGCTTTGGGGGCGCCCCCCCCCCCGCGCGCTCCACTCCGGGCCACGAGCGCCGATTGCTGCCCCCAACCCCGGAACGGCGCTTCCTCTGTCCCGCGCGTTCGTCTCGTCAGAACTGCCTCTCCGGGTCTCTGCTCCCCCGCGGACAGGCCGCAGGTCCAGGTCATGTGCCCGGGCTGGGCAGGCGGAGCGCGCGGCTCCGGGCGCTGCTGGGTCTCTGGAGAGTCGGGAGGCGCAGCTACACCTGACGAAGTACAGCCTGAGGAAGCAGCCCAGCAACTCGACGGGCGCCCGAGAGCGCGGAGGAGGAAGAGGGGAGATCCGCGGGGCGACCCACGATCCGGCCGGCGCAGCTTGCGGGGACCGGCCGTCCCTGCCAGGGCGCCGCCGAGAGGGAGCAGCGCCCGACCGCGGCCTGGCTGGCGCGCCAAGGCTGGGCCGCCGCAGCCCCGCGCCTCCATCGAGGTGCGAGGACGGCCCGCCTGGCCTGGCCTGGCCTGGCCTTATCGGCGTGCCGGTGCCTCCGCCCGCCGGCCTTTCCGGGGGCCCAGAGCAGCCCTCCCGCCCGCGGCGCCTCCGTGCGGTCTGCGTGGAAGCGCCCGCCCCGCCTCCTGCGCTCACCGCCGCGGCAGGCGCTTTGCAAGGCCGGCCGCGGGCAGGGCAGCCAGGCGGGGCGCTGTGCCCCAGGCTCAGTGGGGCTCGGCTCTGAGTAGACCCGTGTGGGGTCGCTGCTCCCAGTGGGGCTCGGGGCGACGGCTGCAGGGGCCGGAGAGCGCCCCCCAGGAGGACGTGTCACGGGCGCCCTTGGGGCACCGGGCGTGGGGCTCTGCCGCGCCTGGGGAGGGAGGGGACCGGGCCGCTTGCCTGGGGCATCCGCGGCTCTGCTGCAGTCACGGAGCCGCCTCTGACGGGGCCGCCCCTCCGCGGGGCCTTCGGGCTGCCGCGGAGGGGCCGCCGTGGTCCCAGGAGGCTCCAGCAGGAGCTTTCCCGGCCCGTCTGCGAGCGGCAAGCCTGGAGCCGCAGACCAAGCGGGGGGCCGCCCGGGCGGTGGTCGCCCCGCCGCCCGCGTCTGCCTCTTGGGGCGCCGGCGCGGGGTCCATTGCAGCCTCTCCCCGAGGAGGCCGCCTCAGTGGCCCTGGGGCTGAATACCGAGAGCCAGGGGTCAGCACGGGGCCGCGGAGGAGGCTGCCGCTGTGCCCGGCCGCTCCTCCCTGGATTGCACCCGGCAGCAGGTGACTCACAGGGACGGGTGCCCCGCGCTGGTCCGCCCTCTCGGTTCCTCGCCCGGACGCCCGGGTCTCCCGAACGTTCCCCGTTTTGCGACCTGCCTTTCCACCTCAGGGGTGCCTGGCGAGCCCTCGCTGCCCTTCCCTGCCTGGCTGGCTCCGGGAGGGGAGGCGAAGCCACGCCGCCCGCCCCGCGCCGGCAGCTGCGTCACGCGTGCCCACGGGGGCTGGCGGCCGCGCCAGCAGCACCTGGTCCGAAGGCAGCGGCGCCCGGTTGGGGCGCGGAGGGCTCCGCGGGGGGCCGACGCAGAGGCGGCGCTGAGCGGGCGGCCCGGGCAGAGGGAGCGGGGTCTCTGGCCTTGGCGCAGCGCCGGGGCCACCCGTCGCGCGTGGCCTCCGTCTGGGCGGAAAGGGTGAGCCCAGCCGGGCGGGAGCGCCTTGGCTGACCCCGGAGCCTGAGCGCGAAATGCTCCGCTTGGGGGGGGGGGCACAATCGCGCCGGCCCCGCAGAAACCAGGCCGAGGAGCCGGCTCGGCAAAGGGTGGCCAGAGCCTCTGCTTCCCTTCCTCCCCACCAGGCAGGGACGTCTCACAGTCGCCCACGGGATGTCTTGTCGGAAAGCGTGTGAGCCTCCGGGAGGGGGGGAGTGCGGACCCTCCCTGGGTAGGACATTGCAAAGAGGGGGTGGGAGAGGAACGGCTCGGCGGTCTGTGGGGCGCGGCGGCTGGCCCGCTTGCCCGCAGCCGCGCTGCGCACTCTCCGGTTCGCGTTCTGCTCGCACCCGGCTAACCCCGCACGTGGGGAGGCTGCAGAGGCGCCCGCCCACCCGAGCTCTTCAGGACCCGGCGCACGTGGGCATCTAGCCTCGGGCCCTGGAGAGGGGTGCAGAGCAGCTGCAGCCCTAATCCCCTCTGGAAGCCAAAGCGGAGGATGCCGGGACACCTAGGAAAACCGAGTCCTGACCTGCAGCGGGCGAGGCGCTCGGCGCCTGCCTCGAGCTGCCCCACGCGGCGCGCTCTCTCTCGGGGTCTGAGTCCTGGGACAGAGGGACAACACGCCCGCTCCACTTTCTCCACCCAGGCATAGTCTGAGCACCTCGACAGCCCCCCCCCCCCCGCCCCCGCCCGTGCCCGTTTCCCGGGCTGAACCGCCTCGGCTGCCGCGCCCGCCCCCCCCCCATGGGGGAGCTGCTCCCGCCCCGGATGAGCGCCGCGCGTCCAGCCCTCGAGTCCCCCTGCGTGGGCGGTGGCCAACCCTGGACGGCAGTCCTCGGACAGGGGTTCAGGCTGCCTGCCCTGATGCGGAGGGCGGGGCTGGAGGCGCGCAAAAGGGACTTGCACAATCGATAGCACCCAAAACAGGTTTTCTCAGGTACCGGTTTTACAGAAAGGTGTGCGGCTGGCGGCTCTTAAAGGCGGCCGCAGCACCCGGGGAGGCGACTCCTGCCTGCCCGCCTGCCACCCGCCGCCTGGGTCCCGCTTGGGCGCGGGCACCTGCCACGTCCGATGGGGGGGAAGCCGCCCCTGGGGCACCGTGCCCTGCTCAGCAAAGGGAAGGAGGATGAGAAGGTAAGCGGCGGGGGCGGACCGGTGCTGAGGCCCGGGGCGGGTGCCCTGAGCGGGCGCTTGGCTCGCGGGGGGACGCCGCGCTGGGCACCGCTCCCCTCCGCCCCGGGCAACGCCTCCCTCCGGGCCTTCTTCCAGAGGAGAGGCGGCGGGGCTGCGGAGGAGCCTGCCTCCCTCAGTCGCCTCAGGCTGGGCACGGTCCGGCCCCTCCGCAGCCCTGTCCGCGCCGAGCAGCGGCTTTTCCGCCCGGCAGATCGGGCGGTCGAGGTCCTTGCCAGCCAGGGCTCCGCTTGGTTTGGGGACACGAGAGGCCCTCGTGGTCCTGCTGGGGGGCTTGTCCCGAGTGGGGGGAGGGGGGAGGCCTCGGGGTTCTCGCAGCTCTGGGTAGTGCTTCGGCCCCGGCCATCCCGGCGCTCTTCCGACTCCGTCTCAGGTGCCAGGCAGGGCACGCTTTGCCCGGCTTCCGTTCCTTCCAGGTGGTGCTGGGAGGCGGCCGCCTCGCGCGGGGGGGCGGGGGCCTCTCCGAGAAGCCGCTGCAGCTGGGAGGGCGGGTGGCTCGGGGAGCTCCGGCCCAGCTCCTGGCCCGTTTTCCGCCGCCAGCCGAGGAAGCTCGGGGAGCCCCAGGGCCGCCTGGCCAGCCGCGCTCCGCTCGGATCGCTCACGTCGCTTCTCCCCGCAGGAGATGTTCGGCTACAGGACGCGCGGCTTCCGCAGGGCCCTGTGCGCCGCGGGGCACGTCCTGTCGTGCGGGGCCCTCCTGCTGCTCTTCCACTGGAAGCCGGAGTGGGCCGTGTGGGCCAGCTGCGAGCCGTGCGACCTGGCGGAGGCGGACGTCGTCTTGCTGCGAGCGACCGTAGGTGCCCTTCTCCGTCTCGCTCGGGCAGCCCGCCCGAGGTCCTGCCTGGTGGGGGCGCGGGGGCCCGAGCCCTGCTCTGCAAGTCCAGCTCCCCGCATCTCCCCCGTTCTCTCTCCTGCGCGCATCCACGGTCTCGCGCGTTGGCGACAACGAAGGGCAAGCGGAGCGCGAGGAGGATGCGCGGAGGGATCCTCCATGCGGATTAGCGCCTTCGCCTCGTTTTTGCTTTCTAATCCTCGGGGCTGCAAAGGCCGTGGTGCCTTGCACGCCGTGTGGTGCAGACTTGGGCTCTTCTTTTTGGTGGTTTATTTCTTGTGCCCACAACCTTGGCTTAATGTTTATACAAGAACCAGCTACACCGGCTTGGCTTTCTGAGAGCTGATGCCCCTCTGAGGCTCGGCTGACCAGGAGTGGGCATCTGCAGAGCCATCGTTCGTTCCTTCTGGCGCAGAGGCCGTGATGCCAGGCCGTGGGCTCCCCTCGCCTGGCTCTGGCTACCCAGGCTGAAGCCAGCCGGGGGCAGCCAGGGTTCCCCAAGCGGTGCCCGGACTCCCTAGACTGGTTTCGCTCAGAATGAGTCACTGGCATCTGGAAATTGAAACTATTTTCCTCGAGCAAGAATCCTCTTAAGCACTCGCAACCATGGGCACGTTTATAAAAAGAATGAATTGCGTGTTCTTGCGAAGCCTTCCGTGTTCCAGTTGAACCCGTGGAGGTGACGCGGGGGAAGGAGGCCCGTCCGCGCCGGGCGTCCTGGGCCCCCGCTCGAGTCGGGCAGTCCCCGCGCCAGCAGGAGCGAGTCCCCTCAGTGTGCGCTGGGGGCGCCTGTCTTCCCCTGCCCAGGACGAGTTTCGCAGGCACAGCAGGAAGAAGGTGGCCCGGCTGGACCTGTCGCAAGTCTTGGACGGCCAGAAGCTGGACCTCGCCCCCAGCGCAGAGCGGGGCTCCGTCATCAGCAAAGCCATCGTGAAGCCTCAGATGAAAGTATGCGCCAGGCCGATCAGGGGGTCACCGCAGGCCCGGGCATGGCGGGGGGGGGGGTCTGCTTAGTTTCTGCCTTGGCCTGAACTCCAGAGTGCCAGCTGGCATCAGCCCGAGGCCGGGGCTGGGTGGAATCCACCCGGGCCGTCCCCTCTCTCGAGGCGCTCGGCCTGCAGAAGTGGGGCGTGCCAGGCCTGTGGGGCGCTGTGGGAACTGTGGGGCTACACAGCTGCCCGCCGGGCTGCCTTTCATGGCTCCGTGCCTCTTGCAGGTGAGATACATCCAGGTGCAAAAGATTCGCTATGTCTGGGACCACTCAGAAAAGCAGTTCGTCAGAGTTGGGTGAGCTGTTTGAATTACAGTGGCTTTATTATTTATTTATGTATTTAAGGAATTTAAAAATGGCACCCATCGTCCTGTATGGGGCTCTGGGACACAGAAGTGACCTTCCTTGTGCCAACTTTCCATGCCTCCCCCGCTTTCAGGTCACTGGAAGACAGCAGCACTTGCTCTGAAATACACCGCAGATTCGGAGATGGGCTGACGGAGAAGGAGAAGGAGCTCAGGTACAGCCCACAGGGCGGCTAGACTGCCCCGCCTGTGCCCAGATGGGGCAGGCCTGGGAAGGCACTCCTCAGAAATTCCCTGTTCGACAGTCTTGTGGGTCCGGGAGAGGTTCCGTGGTGGACGTGGCACAGTCTCAACCTTCGCCATAGTCTTAAGCGAGCCTGATCCACAGAGAGAGAGAGAGAGAGAGAGAGAGAGAGAGAGAGGAGAAAGCAACCCATTGCCTGACAAACCTTAAGAATATGATGTGGTTCCCGGGGTCCGGAGTGCTTTCCTAACTTGGATTATGGCACAGGCCGAGATGGGCTACTCCTGGAAATGCCCCCCTGGGTTATTTTCAAAAGTGGGATTGTGCCTAGAAGTCCTTGCCCATTCAAAGCAGAAAAAGTCGAATCGGCCTTTTTCTAAACCGGGCTTGTGGCGTCATGACCCAGCCCAGTCCAATGCTCCTCCGGATGGCCTGGGATCACACGGTGCAGAGGCGGTGGGTCCCCCCGCCCCCCCTCGCTGCCACCCCTTGGCTGGGCTGCTCCGTGTGCCGGGCACTGCCAGCATCGCTGCCTCCTCCCCCGTTTCAGGAAGCTCGTGTGCGGCCCCAACACCATCGAGATCGAGATCCGCCCAGTCTGGAAGCTGCTTTTCAAAGAGGTAACGGGGACCTTTGCAGCCACATCCTATGAAAGGGTTCCAAGCGGTGTCCCATGGTCCACGGCAAGCACTCCAGGCTTTGGAGGCAGCCTCGTCTGGCTCGGGGTGGCTTTGGAGGGCTAGAGTGAAGCTGGGGAACAGAGCGAGAGGGGCTTCTTCCAGGGGCCCTAGAACACCCTGGTTGAAGGTGAGTCTCTCTCAATGGGATTTTTAGGAGTTTAAGTTGCTGGCCAAAACAAGACCAGGAGCAGACAGTAGTGCCCAGGAACTGCTAATATCAGCGGAGTGAAGTTGGAAAAGATCGCTCATGGAGCACAGTGTTAAAATGTGACTTACAGAACATTTCTGAGCAGTTTAAAGCCATCGGGCATTGCACTGAGGCGATCCGTGCCATTGTGCTGCCCGTCACAAAGGATGGATGTGAGAGCTGGGCGGGGCGGAAAACTGACAGGAGGAAGCTGGATGCGTTCGGGACACGGTGCCAGAGTTGCCCTGGACCAGCAGACAGAGGAACAAGGGGCCCTGGGTCAAATCAAGCCAGAACTTCCTCTGGAAAGAGAAGTGATGAAGCTGAAGCCAAGGTGCTTCGGCCACACCGAAGGCGAGGCTCACTGAGGGAGGCAAAGCTCCGCCCTGAATTTACACGCACCAAGCAGGGCCCTGCGCGGAGGGGCCTCATTCATGGTTCGCCATAAGCTGGGGGAGCTTTGAGGGCGTGCGGTGGTGACAGATGTGCTGGCCAGCCCAGACCTTCGCGGTGGGCCAGTTTCGTCTCTCTCTCTCTCTCTCTCTCTAGATCCTGAATCCTTTCTACGTGTTCCAAGCCTTCACCTTGACGCTGTGGCTCGTCCAGGGATACATCGAGTACTCCATCGCCATTATCATCCTGTCCATCCTCTCCATTGCCCTCACGGTGTACGACCTGCGACAGGTAAGTCGGCTTCCGTGCTTGCTTGTCCAGGAACCCACGAGCACCTGCTCGCCCCAGAGCCTCCATCCGCTGGACGACGCGGCTCTGCTCCTCCGCACAGCCCTCTCCACACCTGCCAGCCAGGCTAGTGCGCCTCCCACCTGGCGGGAAGAAACCATGCGACCTCCCCCCGCCTCGCTGGCTTGCAGCCACTAATCTGATTACCTTCACCAACTTTGCGAGGGGGTGCGCGCGTGCTTCCGTGTCCGCAAGAAGATCCCTTGCAGACAGTCTCAGGCAGCAGCCCATGAACGCGCAGGCCCTGCCCGCCCTTGTCCTTGGCCTGGGAAGAGGTGCGGGGGCAGCGGCCGAGGAGGATTCCAGTGGGTCCCTTTCTGTTCCCCACAGCAATCCGTCAAGCTGCACAACCTGGTGCAGGAGCACAACCGGGTCCAAGTCACAGTCTGGACCAAGGACAAAGGTGTGTATTGCGAACCTGAGAAGCAGCAGCCCACCTCTGCCCCCCGCCCCATGCCAGGCCCCCCCCCCCAGCACCTCCGAAGCCCATCCTGCTGTTCAGCAGAGCAGCTGCAACTCAGGGAGCTGGCTCTAACCGGAAAAGTCTTCCTGGCTTGGCCACCCTTGCCGGAGGGGCCTCCCCACGGTCCCCTTTCCGACCACCACCAGCAGGACGCCGCAAGGGCCCGTGGAGGAGCGCTCCTTGGTGGCAGCTCCTCAGCAACGGCCCGACCCTTGCCTGGAAAAGAGCACCGTTTCTTTTACGGTTCAGATTTCCAGTGGAGAGCACATGTGTAGATGCTTTCGTTTCGGCTAGTTGTTTAGCATTTTTATTGTGAAATTACGACAAAAAGGGGGGCAGCAAAAAAGCCCCCCCCCCGCGGGAGGTTTTGTTTACATCCACGGACACAAACGAAGTACATTTCTGTGCACAGAGAACTTTCTCACAAACGATGCACAAGGGCCAGCAAAAGTTGGACATGTCCAGCTAGGGAGCCATTTGGAGGTGGCATCTGTATCGCCACGCATTCGAGTATCGAAGGTTTTGCAGCGCCCTCCGTCCATCGCACTGGAGGAGGCCTTTGCCTGCCGGCTTTTGGCCCTCAGCAGGGCAGAGGAAATCCACCTGCACTTTGCATTAATTAATGTTCATGAAGCAGGGAGAGAATTTGACCCAGCATATGCATCAGCAGATATGAACGGCTGCTCCAATACAACTTTTATCTCTGTGGTGACCTGCCCCTAATACAAGCAAGAACTGGGCACGATCCATGCATGCTTTTAGCAGAAACATGAGAAGCACACACTAAGCGGATTAGAGAGACGTTCCGGGGTGCAACACACACGGAAGTAGTATCTGTGCTGACTAAGAGGCAGCCCGAGATCCACAGATGCAGCAGGTGTTGGCACCAAGTGGCCACCCCTCCACGGGACAGTCCAGCCCCCTGCTTGAAATCCTGCGGGTCACATCTATTCACCTGCAGCAAGCGCTTGTGGGACTGCGGAGCACGGCGCCAAGCACCATACACACCTCCAGCAATGAGCAAGTTCTGACGCTGTAAAAGGGACCTGAGCCAAACCTGCCCTGGCGACGTGGCCGGCGCAGGTCTCTCCTGGCCAGCACCGGCCAGTCGGTCCAAAGGAACATTGTCTCCCCTCGCCATGCCCCCCACCAAAACGTTTTCTGACCGATTTTAGATCTGGATTTCCCTATAAAGTCAATCAGTCATATTGTTTATTTATTTTTTTAAATTTATTTAAAACTTTCATATGCAGTCCCCTCATGCCTCGGCATCTCGGGATGGCTTACAACATAGAATTAAAACAATAAAACAGTAACAAATACAGTAAAATTATAGAAAAACCAAAATAAAAACAAAAAACAAAAAAGCAACTGTTAATGATAAAATTAATTTTTAAAATAGCCAGTAAATAAAAAGGCTTTAACCTGGCGCCAGAAAGAATATAGACCCAGCTCCAGGCGCACCTCTCCAGGGAGCACATTCCATAACCTGGGTGCCACCGCAGAGAAGACCCTGCTCCGGGTAGTTGTTCTTTTTATCTCCTTTAAAGAGGGCTCCTGGAGATCTTAAGGGGCGTGAGGGTGTGTAGGGGAAGAGGCGCTCCCTCAGGTATCCTGGTCCTAAGCCATATTGTGGTATGTGTGGCTGTTTAAAAACCCATCAAAGCCCATTTTAAAATAAGCCATTACTTTTGACCTCTCCTGTAAATCGGCCGAGCTGCACTTTTCTACAGCCTGAGCACCCAGAAGCTCTGCTTCCGCGGAGAAGCTGGGGGGCACTGAGACCTGTGCAGCCCAACCACAAGGCCTGGAGGGTCTCTCTGTGAAGAGGCGCTGTGCTCGTGGCTCTGGCTTTGCATCTGACGGCCGTCAAGCGAAAGCAAGGCAAAGCCAAGTGAAAATAAAGGCTGGCTGGCTCTGCCAACGCCTAGCAGGTACTAGCCAGGACATTATCCGGGCATGATTATGGAAATCGTGAAAGGTGATCTCTTCTGCCCCGAAAAGCAAGGTGTGGGGGAGCCGTGGCGGCTGGAGAGCCTTGCATCATGGCCAAGGGAAACCTCCGCCGAGCAGCAAAGGAGGAAGCAGGGCCCTCTGGCTGGCTCCCCACTCAGGTGCGGTTGGGGACAGAGCCCAGCTCTTGGGCACTGGCTCCATGTCTCAGCTCTGGTGGCCGGAAAGTAATCCTTTGCAGGTTTGCTTTCCCAGTAACTTAATGCTTTGCTGAGTGCTACCCTTTCAGGCTGGTAATCCCCCACCTTCTGAGCCCAAAGTCAACAATGGCAGGAAACGGTTTGGCGAGCCGAGGCTGCCGGCATCGCATCTCATGTCTGAGCCTCCTCCTGCTCGGCTTCTGTGTTTCCCCAGGTGGCTCCAAGTCGGAGTCGTGTCACTTAGTGCCAGGGGACGTCCTCCTCCTGGAGAGCCAGAAGCTGTCTCTGCCCTGCGACGCCATCCTCCTGGAGGGGAGCTGTGTGGTCAATGAGAGCATGCTGACAGGTGCAGCCCCCTCCCCGGTCTCCCCTGGCCCCGCCTGGCAGGCGCACCTGCATCCTCCCCCCGCCAGCGGGGCTTCTCTGGAGCAGGGGGTGCCTCTCCCCGGGGGCTGCCCTGCATCCACAGTGCAGGGGCCTCGGGGTGCAGCCTGGGGTAGCTGCACTCAAAGCCGCTCCCCGCCTGCCCCCAGTGAAGCACCGCGCTGGCAAGCCATTCATCTGGGGGTGCACGGCGCTGTTTGGCATTCACCCCCTGAAATCCCAACCCCCAACTCGAACTAAACCTAGGCGGGCCTAAATATGTGGCTTCTGGAGCACACCGAAGACTTTCAGTAGAAGATCAGCCTACGTTGGCCGGGCTGCGGCAAATCCCTTGACTGCGTGAACGACGAGAAGCTCTGGGTGGGCCTGAGAGGAGTGGGGGCCGCAGCGCTTGGCTGTCCTGGTGCGGGCGGTGGGTCCTGGACAAGGGGCTACGCGGAGGACAGAAGGTGGAGGGACAGGAGGTTCCCCTTGGCAAAGGCATCAGCCAGGGGTGCGTTTTACCTCCTGCTCTCCAGAGGGGAGAAAAGCTGGATTAGAATCAGAGGAAGGAGTGAAAATTGGTATGCAGATGACACCGTGCTGCGGGCAGGGCTTGGAAGAACGCAACAGGAAAAGGTGCAGAAGCAGGGCTCCAGCTGAGTATCAAGAGAACAAAAATCCTGACTAAATGATCGGTACAATTATTACACCTCTATACTGCCCCATAGCCCATTGGGCTCTGGTGGTTCACAAATTTAAACATATACAGAACAACAGCACAATGTTTAGAAAGCAAAGAGCACAACAGAGAGGCAGTCTGTGGCCGAGGGACACAGCCCTGGAAGAGGCCAAACGGGCCCAGTGCGCGGAGACCCCTCAAGGTCCTGAGGGGGAGCCCCCCCCCGCTCTGAGGCAGGTGCCGCAGGTGTGGTGTGCGGGGTGTGCGGGGGCAGGACTTTGGCAGGATTTCGCTGTTCACGGTGAAGAGGCTGACACTGTGCAAGACGTCACTGGCGCAGCTCAGGCGCCAGTCCCAAGCCAGCCGCGTGGTGCGTGGCAGGGAGCCCAGGAGCCCGGCTGCCTGGGCTCTAGTCCCTGCTCGGCCACGGGGCCAAGCGGGTGGCCCTGGCCAGTCACTCCCGGCCCAGGCTGCCTCACTCAGGGGTCCTGCGCTGATACCGATGACGGACGCGGACCCCGTGATGCCTTCGCAGGCGAGAGTGTCCCGGTGGTGAAGACGGCCCTGGCCAGCGCCGACAGCTCCGTGCCCTGGCAGCAGCACGGCATGGAGGATTACCGGCGACACGTCCTCTTCTGCGGCACGGAGGTCATCCAGACCAGGCGGGCGGGCAAAGGGCCGGCGAGAGCGGTGGTGCTGCAGACCGGTGAGTCGCGCGCCTGGCAACTTGCTCTTCCTCCAAGCGGGGTGTGCGTGAGCGAGCGAGCGAGAGAGAGAGAGAGATTTCAGCTCCCAGGTAGAGCACATCCCACAAAACAAACGTACTCTTCGGGCAAGAATGAATTCATGGTATCGTCACTGCAGGTTTCAGGTTTGCGCTGCCCGAGAGCCGCAGTGCCCGGCCCGGTGGGATCAACTCTGTGATTAAAAGTTTCAAGCTCGCCTTCCTTCAAACTGCATGAAAGCATTTAGAGCTGCAACTTCCCTGTCTTTTCCTTTGTGTTTTTCTGACATTTGCAAATCTGGATAGGGCTGAATTTTGAGCTTTTCAGAGATAAAAAGGTGGAAAAGGCTGCGTTTGGCCAGTTAATGCTCAGGTAGAGTTCCTGTGCATCGAACCTCTATGTCCATCAGGTCACAGCAAGGCCAGGCCCCTTGTCCCCCCCTCCCCCCCCCCAGCTGGAATGATGCTTTGTGCACCAGGGAAGGGAGATTGATGGCCTGGGGCTGGTTGGCTGGGCTTGGACTCAGCACTGGGCGGTCCGTTCCCCTGCCCCATCTGGGGTGGCATCTGCCTGAATTCACCCCGACTGAATTCAGGCAGGAGAATGAAGCCCCCAAAACACGGGAGCAGTTGTGGGGATGCTCCTCATTGGAAATACTTTGGAGACCTCAAAGCTGGGAAATCTGGGGGCCACAAACAATACAATATGCACGATTAAGCAGGCCTTGGAGTGGCGGGGGGTTGATTAGATAAGCTTCGGGGGCTATTTCAACTTTATGGTTCAGTTTGCTGAGATTTGAAGACCACATGCAAGATCCAAATAACATTTGACTCCTCCTTTGCTAAAATTTCAAATTCACCTGCAAATACTAATGCTTCCAAGAGTTGAGGACAAAGAAGTTTGTTGTCTGGCCATGGGAGGGACAGGCGACGCCAGCGGGTTGTTCTGTATTTTAAAACCCCTCTTTGAAGCAGCTGCACTCAAGCAATAGAGAATGATCCCCCGTCTCCAGCCAGGACCGGGAGCTCCGGTTATTAGCACAGCAAGTGTATGTATTTCGCTTTTTGCAGTGATCAGTAACAGAAAACGCTTCAGCAGGAAACGGTACTCGATAAAAGCAGGACGCATCCATCGACCAGGGAAAACGGAGTGGGCAGGAGTTCCCCAGGCACTGCAGCATGTGGTGCCGGGGGTCAGACTAGATGGCCTGGGAGGCCCCTTCTGACTCGCTCTGTTTCTATGTTATCCCGACCGAGACTGCTTCTTAGGACAGCTGCTGTCAGAGCGCCTGGCTCCAGGCTTGCCTTTACAAATCCTGACTTTCTTGAAAGGTTTCTTTTATACTTTCCACCCTCTTGTGTCTCTCGGATAGAACACTAAGCAACTGACTCCTGTTGCTTCGTCATCGGGGAAAAATATCCTTCACAAGCGTACAAAAGCGCAAGAAGGGTCTTTTTCTTGGCGCCCAGCTTCACGGTGGGCTTGTGGCCACAGGAAGGTGTGGCGCACAGGACTCCCGTGGTGGGTCCCTTGTGCGTGACCAGCGCTGGGTGGGGACGGTTCCCGTTGGTGCCCGGGAGGAACGATGGGGCTGGAAGAGGCGGTTGTGGCCCAGTCCAACCTCTGCTTAGTGCGGGAATCCGGTTTAAGCAACCCCGAAGGGGCTGCCCGGTCTCTGCCTGAAGCCCTCCTTCGACGGAGAGCTGCCGCTTCCCCGCTCTGCCCCTGAGGAAGTTTCTCTGCCGCCTGGCCAAGACCTGCCTCCCTGTAATTAAGCCTGCTGCTCCGTGCCCCGCAGACGTGGACACCCCGGCCGCAGCCCGCTCTCTGTGGCAGCTAGAGGGGCTTCCGCCTTCTCCTTCCAAGGCAAAGGTTCCTGGCTCCTGCAGGCTTCGCTCGTCTTGTGGCCACCCTTGCTGTCTTCCCCGAACTTGTGCCGGTTTATCTGGACCCTTCTGAAAGTGCAGCGCCCACAGCGGGCCCAGTGCTCCAACGGGAGGTCCCTTCTCTGCCTGGCCGGGACCCCCCAGGGGAGTGGGAGGCCTGCTTGCACCCCACCCGGGGGCTTCTCCCCACACCCATGTGCCCAAGGGCGGCTGTGCCCAGCCTGCCTGGAACCGGCGCGGTGCGTGTGCCCCCGCAGGATTCAGCACCGCCAAGGGAGACCTGGTCAGGTCCATCCTGTACCCGAAGCCGATGAACTTCCGGCTGTACCGGGAGGCCTTCTGGTTCATCGTGTGCCTGGCCGTGATCGGCGTCCTGGGGCTCGTGTACGCCGTGTGCGTGTACAGCAGCCACAAGGTCAGTCCCGGGCTCCTGTGGGGCCACGGCCGAGCCCTTGCGGGCCACCTGGGTGGGCAGGGGGACGGACGAGCAGGGGGCCGCCCCCACCCGGCCCGGCCGGGCTGCTGGCGGGGGCTCGATGTGCTGGAGGGATGCGCCACAGGGGTCTGTAGAGAGACGTGGCTGTGGGGTCCGGGTTCGGCCAGCCTGCTGGGCCCTCCTGCGGGGTCCCCACCCCATCATCTCTCCCCCACTCACGGAGCGCGCTCGGTCCTGGCTGAGCCAGCGCCGCTGGCACCTGCCCGCCCTGGGGCTGCACAAAGCCCGGGGGAGCGGGCGGCTGGCCCAAGGGGGGCGGGGCGCCGGGAGTGGGCGGGCCAGCGCGTGTCTCCCCAAGCCCTGCATGTGGGGCGAGCCCCGCGAAGGGGGGGCCAGCAGCAGCACTGGGTATTCACGGGGGGGGGCGGCTTTCAGCGGGTAAGTGACAAGGGGCTGGG